CTACTAAAACAGTATCACTAACAGTAATGTTTTACACAGTTTAAGTATGAGTGTTTACGGATGAAATATAATTGTTGTGTTGATGTAGCTTCACGTGATTTCTTATTTTTGTGTGCAGTAGTTCATCACTCGAAATCTTCTTTTCGTCTGCTTTATATATGCCATGCAATAGTGACATAAGAAGATACTTTTGGTATGTCCATAATATGAGTTAATGAACTTTCCAAACCAGGAGATCCTTGTCTATTTGTAGCTGTTACTTATGATATTACATTGATGGAATTGTAACGTTTCAGAGCTTCTCACATCAGAGGATGAATATTACCGTTGAGAGTCCTTTACAGCTTGTATTAGAACTTTGCAAATCAGAGTATCAGAGATCATGTTTCACAGCGCTGGTGCATTCAGAAGTTGTAACATAACTTCTTCATATAAGCATGTCACACAGATTTGATGCGTCTGAATCTATCATGGTACTCTCAGTTTCTATACTCGCATAATCAGAACTTCTAGTGATGTTCTGAGAGAACTTCCAATTGCATCAGAACATCTTTTTCACATCAGAACTTCCTGCATGTAAAGATACTTTTATTAGCGAGCATATTTGTTCTTTATATCATGTGTTTGTTATCATCAAAACTCTTACTGGAATGTAGAACTAAATTATATTCTAACAGTAGTGACATGTCAACAATCTCTCTTATAAGAGTAAGTACATCTATGTACTAGCTATGTTCCCCTTCAAAGAGATGTTTTGCACCAGTATTGATACTCACATCAATACAACAATTTAGCCGACCACTATTATTTGAAAGACTTTTGATGTGAGGAGTTGGTCGAACCAGTCACTCTAATACCACTTTTGGGTTACGAGGTCCATGTGGGATCATTATATTGGACTTTGAGCAGTCACACGAGTAGAATTAGATACAATATCTTAACCCAAAATCTTATGAAATTGTGTATATGGGTTTTCTCATTTTTATATTTATTTGATCATGTTTTTCATCTATGTAAGACTATTATTTACACTTGAAACACCGATACTTTTTAAGTGGATATTAAGCAACATACCAACAATATATCCCATACAAATTTGTATTTAGATGTATTCTTCAATTTCATTTACATGATTACTTAAAACTCAATGTGATGACACCTTAGTCCCTTCAAGATCTAACAAAGGTATAAGGGTCAATAGTTCTAATGACTCCTTGTATCGAAAGTCCTTATGAAAATATTGGTAAAAAATATTGTCTTGTAGGTGGAGCACCATTTATAATGCAAATGTAATAGATGGAAAAATTGTATGAGTAGGAGCATTTCACAAGAATAAATGGACTCACACTTTAGTAGAGAATTGTTGATATTTCAAATTTGAGTATAGGAGTCTCACATTGGGCCAAGAAATGAATTTTGAATAATAAATAAGTGAGACGACTCATATCTATAATAACTTAAAATTTTATGTTAAGATGCAATATCCAATTCCACTTGCGAGGATGCTCAAAGCTTAATGGAATAATCCCTTGAGATGTATTTGATTTGAGGTAGATGGAGGGGAGGGGAATGTATATTTTAATTAAATATGTTTGGTTCAAATTTTAGGAGGGTAAATGAGGGGAGAGGAGGAGAGCAAATCCATTTTAAAACACTTTTTTATGTCCTTTAAATTGGGGGGATTTGGAGGGGAGAAGATGAAATATGCATTTTGATATTTAACAAACTATTATATTTCCTAAAATATTTTCAGTTTTATTTTAGTATTTCAAATTATTTATTTTCTTTCACGTTAGTGCTTATCTTTTTGTGATTTTTCTCTATTGTTTCCATCAATTTATTATAATTTTTCTCCATTTTAAAATTATTTTCGTATTTTTATACTTAATATAAATTATAATCACTGCACTTATTTTCTTATAGTTTTTATTTTTATGTGTTATTTATGTTATTTTATTTTATTTTATAATGTACTTTATTATATATTTTTATATCCAATATTAAACCATTTATTTCATTATGTCTTTTTTCGTCGTGTTTTTAGAATACACTAGACATAACTTCAAGAAAACTATTATTGTACCATAATTTGAATCAACATTAAATTTCCATTAACATGATTTAGAGCATCATCTCTAGAGGTTAAAAAACAAATTTAAAGGAAAATTTACTATAATTCTCCATCTTGACTTTAAGTTAGTGATGTTGTTCATCTTTTATCCATCAATCACTTTGATGTTCTCTTTAATGTTGGAACTACTCTTAAGCAAAATCGATCAAATTTAAAAAAATGCTTGATCTTTGATCTAGACATCAACTTCCACTTGCACCAGACTACTCTTTGTTTTTTTATGTAATTCCATAAACTTTCGAGTTTGATTCTTCTCTAGTGAATTATGATTTATCCAACTTATCATTACCTATGCCTAGTGAACGTTGTTTTGCCAATTCAATTAAACCCCTCTTATTAACATGTCTTAATATTAAATGTCATAGGTTGCTTTTAACATGCAAATTTTAACTAGCCATTGATGTATGGGAAAAATATGTAAACTATATAATATATAGACCACACATTTCAATTTCTTTAGCTATTATCAATGTACCATGCAAAATATTCACTATGTTAATTTCTACAATGACCTAATCCCTCAAATATACTTATGGGTAATAAATTTGACTTGATTTAAATAACATTCATCACATTTTGTATATGGAATTCATGGTTATCAAAAAATCCTTAGACGAATTAAACACTTTGGTTGTTTTGTTATTTTTAAGAAAAACAACTCCACTTTCTTTTAACTCTAAAGTTTCAAATTATTCAATATTTGAACACATGTAATAAGAACATCTAGAGTTCAATACCCAAATCCTTTTTCATTTCAAAATTGTCAACATTAGCACTCTTGTGCCCTCACAACCAACCTCTGGAACAATTTTTGCTCGCATGGAATCATCATTACCCACCGTTCTCATGTCAATCCACGTTGAAGCTATCGGTCTTGTGACAATTGAACCATTTTTACTTCTATTTGTCGATTCCCTTTTGGTTTTGATTTAGCTCGATTTTCTCTATTCTCACTTTTTATTACTGAGACACTTAAGCCTTCTCCACAATTATTCATCTTTAAGTATTGAAGCTCATTTATCTCCTTGATTCTAATTTCACGATTGTAACTCCTCTAAGATAATAATAGACTTTTTTTTTTTATAAAAGAGTGCATTCGTGAAATTCTTAAAAAATCTAGGCAAAAAAATCAACAAGAGTGTAACTTTATTCTCATCATCAACTTTTCCTTCAATATTATGCAAATGATCAATGATTTTGTTAAATTTTATCAATTGTTCCACTATGAATTTTTACTCTACCAATGAGGGCGGGGTGACTCGCAAACACAAGACCGTTGATACCTAAAAATTATAAAAAAATTATTTTAATATCTACGCCCACAAAAGTCTACAAAAAATGGAATGGGTAAAACATACATATCAGAGAGTACCTAAAACACATTGTAAAATATATAACAAAACATACATACTCAGTAGTTCATGCTTGTTTTTCCATCCCTAACACTAACGAGATAACTGAACTAATTGTTTTATTCTTATGTATATTATGATGCCGGTAGTTTAAAATTTGATAGTTGAATGAAAATTTAATGTTTGATCTTATAATTTTAAGAAAAATATATTTTTGATAATCTAAATCCAGCGAGGAGATAAAAAAAAAACATATTTATTTTTTAAATTAAAGATCAATTTTACCTACTTCTAGTCAAGTCGATAGTTTGACAATTATCAAATAAGAAAGAAATGTAATTGATCTATTTATAGTTTTCACATTTTTCATAAAAGCTTAAATCAAATTTTAAATTATTTAATTATTTAATTACAATATAAAAATATAAATCTCTTTTAAAAATAAAGACTAAAAATTACTTTGTCAAAACAAAAAATAAAAACAATTCAAAAGTTATCTCCTATTATTATACCGACCAGTAAGTTTTAATTTTCAGAGACATAAACGTGTATAATTTGACATTCGCCATTGTTGCGGTAAAAGATTATACAAATAACAAAGTTGAATAAAACTTAAGACTTTACATTTTGTGTTACTTTCTATTTATTAAACTTTCCTAATTAATAATTAAAGATGTTAGTTAAAGTAATGTGTTGCATTAATTAACATAGTTATAAAAAAAGTGTGTATATATATAACAAGTGGAAGAAAAATCAGAAGAAGAAACAGCAGAAAGTCCTTTCACTTTCTTTGTCTCTTTTGAGTTTTTGACTGTTCATAATCCCTTTCTTCTCTAAGGTTAATGTTTCTTTTCTTATCCTTTTTCTTCTTCAATTCCTCTCTCTATTCTTCTTTATGATCTTTGATTTTTTTTATTAGCACTGCACAGATTTGGCTCTGGAATTGAAAAGAAAAGTTTGATTTTGCTATGTGCTTGTTGAATATTCTGCTTATTTGGTTGGTGATTATTTGTTTTTTGTGTTTTCTTTTTACTAGGTTTGTTCAAACTAGCTTCTGTGTAGCATTCAATTGTGAATTATTGTGATTTTTTTTGTTAATTGATGTGAATTGTGTTGGGTGTTGGAAAAAAATAATCCAAATTTGGTAATAGAATTCATGGCAATCATGTTTTAATGAAATTCTGTGGGTAATGGGTATTGGGTAATGGTGCCTGTTCAATTGAAGGTTTCTCTAGGTTGAGGGAGCAATGGTTTTAAGCTATGTAGCACCGAACACCTCTTGAAAAAGGCGTGTTTGTCTCCGTGTTTGTGTCGGTCCTGACACTGCCACTTGTGATTACTTATAATTTATTCATTTTTTAAATTATTATCGGTATTGCTGTGTCAGTGTCGGTGTTGTGTACGAGATGTCTTCATAGGTTTTAAGCAAAAGGGATTGACTTTGTGATAAATTTGAGAATTTTCGGACTGACAAGTTTTGTTTTGTTGTTTCTTTTCCCAATGTGTTATAGGTTGGCATGGGTTGTAAGTTCTCGAAGTATTCAACATGTTGTTGGGGTAGTGAGCAAGGAGGTGGTGGTGTTCAAGTTCCGGAGGCAAATATTGATGGTAAGTTATTGACTTGTCTTCTCATTTATGTTGTTGCTGCTCTGAGAATGATTGTTAATTATGTGATTATATTTCTTGTTTAGAAAATGAAAACAATAATGTTGAAGACAATGGTCCGCCGTCGTTTCGTGAATATACGGTTGATCAACTTAGGAAGGCCACCTCTGGGTTTGCGGTAGATAATATTGTTTCCGAGCATGGAGAAAAGGCTCCAAATGTTGTTTTTAAAGGGAAACTTGAAAATCAAACGCGAATTACCATCAAACGGTTCAATAAATCAGCCTGGCCAGACGCCCATCAATTTTTGGTAAGCGTTCTGAAACTTATGTGCGAAATTCGTATTGATATGTTATTTTGAATATTTGTTATACGCGTTAGTCGGGCACTTTCTCACAAGCTTCCATATTTTAATGCACAATTTGTTGTTTGTTCTACTGGATTTTGGTCGATTTTAACGAGTGATCTAATTAATTAGCGTTTTGTTTTGTATGCGAGTCTGTTCCATAGAGGTCACGAGAAATCCTATGAGGGTCATGAGAAAGACTGAATCAATCATTAGTTTGTTGTATAAATGCTTGTTTGTTGTTTTTTCATATATGGGACAGTTTAAATGTAAATGCCTTTTCATGGTTTAAAGCCCTCCTAAATCACGTTTGTGGCCTTGCCATCACTTTCCTTGTTTTAATAGCTTCCTTTCACGCGTTTTTGCATTTTAATAATAATAACGATTATCGCGTGCTGGTTTCACCGTAGTTTTGTCATTATCTTAATGATGGTGCAACGTTTTGTCGGTTTACACACCTTTGTTGTTTTTTAACCGCTGAATTAACTTGTATTATATTTTGTGCAATTGAGTCTGTTCTGCATAGAACACGCGTGTTTTGTGTCGCCATAGTTATGATAGTCAGTTCAAGTGTTTCACATGCTTTTATGTCTCCTAACTTTTAAGTCATGCGTGGCTTTAATGACAACTATATATTTTTATTTTTTTAGTCTTTTATATTGACGTTTTTTGCGTCAAAGATATTTTTATTCAAATAATTACAGCATGGAGTTTATATTTTAGGTTTACTTGCCAATGAAAGTATGCTCAACTAGTAATATGAATTTATGGCATTTTGAATGTGCTTTTCATTATTAGTGATTTAGCATGATAAGGAACCATCTCCAATCATCTCTTTCAGGAAGAGGCCAAAGCTGTTGGTCAGCTAAGGAGCCCAAAATTGGCAAATCTGCTTGGATGTTGCTCTGAAGGTGATGAGAGGTTGCTTGTATCAGAGTATATGTCCAATGATACGTTGGCAAAACACTTGTTCCATTGTGAGTATACAGCTAACTTGTCATGCATTGGCTTTGCTATTATTTTGTTATTGTTCAAATACAACTCCTATCCCTATCCTAGCGGACTAGCGGTGACTAAAACTTATCATTTATGAAAAGTCATATAGCTAGACAGGTTTTAAAAAATTGTTTGCTGTCGAGTTTCTTTTGAATTAGAAGAAATTCTTCGCTCTTGCTCTTTTTTTCTTCATTTCAATGCTACTCGGGCGAACTTTAGTTGTGATTACTTGTTGCTGTCATTCTTTTGATTACATGGTGATGACTTCTCTTTTAACAATTTTTCAGGGGAAACTCAGCCTATGAAATGGGCAATGCGACTTAGAGTTGCTTTACATCTTGCCCAAGCTCTAGAGTACTGTACCAACAAAGGACGGGCTTTGTATCATGATCTAAATGCTTACCGAGTTCTTTTCGATGATGTAAGTTCATTTCTTGTATTTGCATAGATATCTATTGCTCAAAGTGGTGGATGGTGCTTAAAAGTTTGCAATCTTAGAAAGCTTCATTACATAAAGCTGTATTTAAGTACTCAATTGAATTGCATAAAAATTAATAAATATCATATAATATTGACAAATATGCTTATATTCAATTATGAATTAATTTGAAATCAATAGTATCCAAAAAATCGGAAGTTTATGAGCATCGAGATATAATATAAATTGTTATCCAGGCCTGAATAGTAAATGTCAAATATGCTTATATTCTTTTTTCTTGTTATTCAGGACTTCAATCCTAAACTTTCATGCTTCGGTCTGATGAAAAACAGTCGAGATGGGAAAAGTTATAGTACAAATTTGGCATTTACACCACCCGAGTATCTCAGGACAGGTACTCCCTCAAACAAAAATACCATTACATCACAGAATTATGTTATTTGTTCTTCTATGTCTTGGCCTGGTATCAAACTTCTGTATAGTGATTTTAATTTTTTTTGATACAATAGTAAAACTTTCTACTCTCATAAAACTTGTTTCTCTATCATGCTGTGAGTAGGTTAGGGTATGAATTTCTCATTAGTATTTTGGGTTTTCTAATGAGTGCCCAAAAGGCATTGGTTAATGAGTCAATAAAAGGAAAGTTTTTCTTGAAAATATAAGTTAAATATATGTCGATATACTAAATAAACCATTTTTCCGTACAAACTTGCCTCTTTTGGTTCCTTAAACACTGCTCTAAGGGAACTTGTAAGCATTCTCCTACTTTATTTTAAGTGGCATACTATTGTTCGAATACCCGAGGATAGCATGCCATTATTCCACAGTACCCAAGTTTCCTATGGGAAATGCAACTTAGAATAATGTCATGGATCTGCTAATTTAATCTTATTGTAGTTGTAATAAACAGGTTAATATAATTTGTTATGTTGTTACAGACTTAATGAGAATGTAGTGGATTTGACTCCTCCAAATTGAAAAAGAAAATAATTCTCCTATGCAATGATTCAATCACTGTATTCATTTTATATCTTATGTCATAATTATAAATACATGATGGCAATGATACTTCCTTTATTTTCTGTGTTGATGCAGGTAGAGTGACCCCAGAGAGTGTAACTTATAGCTTTGGGACCCTTTTGCTTGACCTTCTCAGTGGAAAACATATTCCTCCAAGCCATGTAAGTCTATTTCCTTCATAGAAAGAATCCTTCATGTTTTCTTATATATCTGATATGGATTTCATTTTTTTTTTTGCAGGCCCTTGACCTGATCAGAGACAGGAACCTTGAGAGTCTAACAGACTCATGTTTAGAAGGACAATTTTCAGATGACGAGGGGACTGAATTAGTTCGTCTAGCCTCACGATGTTTACAATCTGAACCGCGAGAGCGTCCTAATCCAAAGTCACTGGTCACTGCTCTAATACCTTTACAGAAGGATTCTGAGGTTAGCTGTCTAAGATGTGGTTCCTCATTTTCTGAGACTCAATGATAGCTGGACTTAATAATTTGAATGAGGATAGACTATTAAAGAATGCTTGAAGGCTGTCTCTTTTAGGATTCTCGAGTTGTTCATAATTTTGTTTGTGCTGATGTTTTTCTATTCAATGCCATTATACTTGAAACTAAATTTCTTATTATATTATGCAAGGAGAATATATAGGTTTGAGCCTTGTAATCAATCCATTAATTGTGGGGAAGAAATGAATGATTAAATACAATAATATCCTAACTGATACTAATAATAAAAACAATACCTCAACACTCCCCCCTCAAGGTGGTGCATATACATCATATGCATCCATCTTGTCACATGTAAGTAATTTAACTACTCCAAAGAGATTTCGTAAAGATGTCAGCAAGTTGATACTTGAAATTGACAAAGGAGGTTCTAATGATCCCGGGGATAATCTTCTCTCTAAGAAGTGACAGTCGAATAACATCAATCTCAATGGTTGTCACAAGGAGAGTTGAGGAACTGACTTACTACACTGATTGGAAAAGATATGTCAGGTCTAGTCATGGTAAGATAATTCAACTTTCTCACAAGTCTTTGTTATCTACCTGGACCGGTATATGGCTCCCCTTGATTAGGAAGAAGCTTTACATTAGGATTCATAGGAGTCTCAACTGGTTTGCAATTTGCAAGACATGTTTCCTCCAAAATATCAAGAATACACGTCCTTTGAGAGAAATAATACCTTGCTTTGATTGAGCTACCTCAATCCTAAGAAAGTAATACCTTAGTCTGAAAGTTTTGAAAATAAGTTTTATTTTAAAGCTTTGGTAGCCTCGGAGTCATCATTTGCAATCACAATGTCGTCAACATACACCACTAGATAAATATATTTATTTGATGAGGAGCATTTAGTAAAAACAGCATGATCTGATTCACGATGGGTCATCCTAAATTGTTGCAACACTTTGCTAAATCTTCCAAACCATGCCCGTGGTGATTGTTTCAAGCCGTACAAAGACTTGTGCAATTTGCATACCTGATTGCACTCCCCCTGAGCAATAAAAACCCAGAAGTTTGCTCTATGTAAATCTCCTCTTCCAAGTCACCATGCAAAAATGTATTTTTGGTATCCAATTGAAATAGAGGTCAATGTTTCATGGCAACCATGGCCTGGGAGAGATAAGCAAATTTCATCTTTGCAACAAGAGAAAAATTATCACTGTAATCTTGACCATGGATGGGTATATTCCTTTACCTGTCACTCAGTGCCCACCTTAACATTAAATATTCACCTGCAACCAACAGATTTCTCAGAAGGAAAAGGAACAAGCTCCCAAGTATGATTAGAATCTAAAGCTGACATTTCATCAAGTATTGTCTGTCTCCACCCTCCACCCTAGATTAGGAATAGAAACAGATGCAAGTGCAAAAACTGAAGCACATAAGATAGGAGATAACCGATGGTAAGACACAATTATAAGTAGGTAAGGGTTTCAGGTTGAACGACTGCCTTTACAGATGGCAATGGGAAAATTAGTAGATGGAGTCGGAGTGGGGTGGAGGCGCTTGGAACAAGAGCTGAATCACATGGTCCAAACCTTCTCTCATAAGTAATGCCATATTAGTTCAACGATGGTGGAGAATCGGTTGAAGAGGACGTATCTATCACAGCTGGTGGACTAGAAGATAGAGGAGTGGACTAAACAGATTCAAAATAGGGAATAAGCAAGACGTGTAGAAGCGATGTGTAGAAGAAGAGTAACACCAATATCCCTTTTGGACTCGAGAGTAACCCCAGGAAAACACATTTGATAGCACGAATAAACATCTTGTCACGACCTGGAGACAAATCATGAACAATACAAGTACAACCAAAGACACAAGGGGAAACAACATATAAAGGGTTTGTAGGGGGCAATTGAGAATGAGGAACCTGATCATTCAACACAGAGGATGGCATCCGGTTAGTTAAATACCCGACAGTAAGAAGAACATCACCCCAAAACTTCAGAGGTACATTGACATTTAGCAAAAGAGCACGAACACTGTCAATAATATGTCTATGTTTTCTTTCAGCAACACCATTTTATTGAGGTGTATGGGGACAATTGGATTGATGTTAGATACTTCGGAGTGCATGAAAAAGTTGAAAATTAGAGATATATTCTTTTCCATTGTCATGGTGTAAAATGCGAATAGTTTTGCCAAACTGTGTCATAATTTCAAAACAAAATTCTTAAAAATATTAAACAACTCATAACGGTCTTTCATTAAAAATATAACCAAGTGCATCTTGAGAAATTAACATAATACTTATACCCCAAGATAAAAATATTATTAACATCTTATTTTTGCCCGTCAGTGGCTTTTGTGTGTGCCTAGAACTGAAACTATATTTTGGTAAAGTTGGAATGGACTGTAAATATTCTTATTTTATAGGTTCCTTCTCATGTGCTGATGGGTATACCTGATGCCGATGGTAGTGCAGCTTTTCCCCTTACTCCACTTGGGGAAGCTTGTCTACGCAGGGATCTGACATCCCTACACGAGGTGCTGGAGAAAATTGGGTATAAAGATGATGAGGGCGCAGCTACCGAGGTTTGTTTCTAATTTGTAAATAAATACGATCAGTTCTATTGAACCTTATACCAATCATTTTTGCTTTTAGTTATTGCGTTTTATATATTTAGTCATCTCTGACACTTTGAGTATAGTGTGGCTCATTTGATCCATTCAATTGCTTTTAGTTTCCTGGTAATGAGAAGGAATATGTGAAGCTTAAAATTGGTATGCCTAGTAAGACAACCTTAGAAGAATCAGTGCCACGTGACTTTAGTGATCAAGTTTTTTCACCTTTAATATAGTTGTCTAAAACTATTTTCTGTGTAACCTCTGGTTTCAGAAAAGTTTTGGTCTATATTAAGTGTTTGATCTCTTATCACATATACCTATTGCCACATACTTTTGTTTCCATTTCGATTGTCTATTTGAATTGAGCACTAATTTATGTATTTATTTACATCTATCTGTATCAAGCAGCTTTCGTTCCAAATGTGGACCAACCAAATGCAGCAAACATTGGACTCAAAGAAGAAAGGAGATGCCGCTTTTCGACAGAAGGACTTCAAAAATGCAATTGATGGCTACACCCAGGTTAGTAATATTTCCCTATATTTAATCACTTGCTGTGCTCTTCTGGAGCAACCATGACTTGCTCTTACTGCCATTGCTGATGGTTTTGTTCTGTAATGTAGTTTATTGAGGTTGGAAGCATGACTTCTCCAACAATTTTCGCTCGACGTAGTCTGTCTTATCTCTTCAGCAATATGCCAAATGAAGCACTTGGTGATGCAATGCAGGTGCAAATGATATCTCCTATTTGGCACCTTGCATTTTATTTACAAGCTGTTGCTCTTTTGGCACTAGGAAGGCAGAATGATGCCCAAGTGGCCCTTAAAGAAGGTTCTTCACTTGAAACTAATAAGAGCACAAATTAATTGAGGTGGTTGGTTATCCGAATCTTGAATATAACTTTACATAGAAAAAAGCTGTTGGTTTTTCTCAATGTTTGGGCGCAAATGTACATGGGGCTATAGTTCCTTCCTTATTTGGACAATTGTCATTATTAAGGTTTATTTATTATACTTGTGCATGCTTAGAAGCATTCTTTTGCACAGACTAGAGTTATCTCTGAGAGTTATACAGTATCTATTTGCAGTAGGATTCTGTTTTGTTTAGTCACCTCTATGTTAGTAGAAGCATAAAGGTCGATTATGAGTTGAAGAATGAAAGCAACTTTTAGAAGAGAGGTGTGTTTGTAAAGGGTTCATCTGTCAGTTTAAGTTGGGAAAATATTGTTATGCTTGTAATTTATTGTACAGAAGAACAATTTGGCTATGACCTACCTTTTGTGATATTGATGATATTGATATATTCATTTTCCTTCAAATAAATTATTTTCTTTTTGTAATATCTCTCAAGTGTAGCTCAATTTCCCTAAAGATAAGTCTCGATTCTTCACAAAGAATGTCTTCAATTCTTACCATCTCCACCGTAGGATTTTAGAACACCATTTGTCTTGAATAAGGGCAATGTCGGAAAAAAAAAAAAACTTCTCTTCCCAAATCAGAAGAAGAAAAAACAGGTGGGGCCATGCTGTTTTTTATCCCTCACTCTTAATTCTCTTGTGTACCAAGCAGGAGAAACAGTACACTTCTTTCCTTATTCTCTCGTTGCTATTTCTCTCTGGGCTATTTCTCACATGTCAAACACACCCTTAATATCAAGTATCAATTATAAATTTTTGGCTAAATATCTTTTTGATCCTTATAAATATCTCACATTTCATTTATCTCTATAAAAAATAATATATTTTAATCTCTATAAAAATTTTAAATATTTAATTTTAGTCTATGTTATTTTCTGAAATCTTAAAAATTGTTTAATTACCATTGAAATTTTAAATTTTTGAATAATTTTTTTCATACATGTGTAGAATATTATACAATATTTTTCTATAAAATTTTAAATTTTTTTAAAACGAGAAGAATTAAATATGAATTTTTAAATTTCATAAGATAATGATAAAATTAATGAAAATATCGATTTAGAAATTAAATTTTGAATTTTTTTTCAAGGAACTTTTTATAACGTTCTAAACATTTCTATAAAATAATCATTCAAAAATACACATTAGTTTAACAAGAGGGACTAAAATTACATGCATAATAATTTTGTAAGGACCAAAATATTTAATTTTTTTATAGGGACAAAAAATAAACTTTGGTAATTTTATAGGGATCAAAAACATATTTAACCCTAAACTTTCTAAGTTCTTGTTATATAAAGGGTTAAATATGTTTTTGATCCCTACAAATTATTAAACTTTGTTTTTTGTCCCTATAAAAAAATTGATATGTTTTAGTCCCTACAAAATTATTATGCACGTAATTTAGTCTTTGTTGTTAAATTGATATGTGTTTTTGAATCATTATTTTGTAGGCATGTTTAGAACGTTATAAAAAATTCCTCGAAAAAAAAACTGAAAATTTAATTTCTAAGTCGAGATTTTCATTGATTTTATCAATATCTTTTGAAATTTAAGAAATTCATATTTAATTCTTCTCATTTTAAAAAATTCTAAAATTTGATAAATAAATATTTTATAGTATTCTAAATATTTATGAAAAATATTATTCAGAAATTTAAAAATTTAAAGATAATTAAACAATTTTCAAAATTTTAGAAAATAATATGGACTAAAACTGCATGAATAAAAAATTTGTAAGGACCAAAATATATTATTTTTTAATAAAAATTAAAAATGAAATTAAGAATATTTATAGAAATCAAAAACATATTTAACCCTTATATAAAAATTGATTTCTCTCACCCTAAAAATTTATGCATGTCAATCAGTCTAATCAAATATAATCAACAATTTATTATGATTTTATCATTTAGCTAATCCTTATTGTTCTGGATTGGGCTCGCACTTGCCCCAAACAACATACAAGGCCCAATTCAACTATGTTGTATGAGAAGACCAGTAGGAGAGTTTGTCCTTGCCCATGTCGGGCAGTGATTCCATTCCTCTCGTTGACCAGGATATGTCCTCCGGGGACAATCTCACTACATGACTAGCGAGGAGGACCAACGGCTCTCAGGAGGTCCTCGGGATCACCCTCCTCGTAGGGAGAGCATCCAACACCTCTGAATATCATCGAGTTCCCTTAACCCCGAAGAAACCATAACCATGTCCTCCTGGTAATTTAGAGGAGTCCATTCAGGCGCAGGACCTGACAATCTCCATTTTTGGTCTGCTCTCTCAGCCCAATATGGGGACCTTGGCCCAGCGATGGGGATATAAATATCCTCTCACTTGAGAGGGTCAGGTATTATTGATTCATTCACCCATACTCTCACGCTTTACTTTCACTTACTCTGAACCTTATTTTGACATCAGAGTGTCTTGTAGATACTCTCCCACTTCACATTCAACCACTGCTCGACTTGAAGCTCGTGGACCTTGACAATCCCTTCTGATCAGGTAAGATCAGTGGTACCGTCTATGGGAATCCAGCTTCCCCGTCTTTTTACTTAAGACCAAAGCAACTCTTTATCATCCTTCTGATTGTCATGGCTGATCAAGCTTTCAACAATGACCAGAACGTCAATTTCATCGACGATGGGCACAACAATACAGGCAACAACGATGGCGTAGCCGCCCCTAAGCAAGACCACAGGGACAAATTGACTGCCTCTTTATCCACCCGATCACAACCACGCGACGACGATCGCCATCCTCCACAAAATTATGAGCCCAACGCATATAAGGAGATCCCCATTCCTAAAGGTGTTGACGCCATGACCAGAGCCGTGTTCGCGGTGATCAACCAGATTAATTACACGATCTTCTCACAGGGTAAGAGACTGATGATGTTAGAGAAGACTCGCTGAGCTCCCATAAGGCACAAAAGACCTGATTCTTGAACTCCTCCTCCTCGGAACAAGGACCGCTCCTGGTCTCCCCTATAGAGACACAACCATGATGACTCTCGAAGCCCTTCTCCCCACCGAGCTGGGCGAGGTCCTGCATTGGAGAGGAACTAACCCGAAGCTGTTAAGAAACGCGGGCACACCCCCTCGCTCAAGGAGCGAAGATCCCCTGAATGAAAGATAAATAAGGGGAAATGAAGAGAAGCAGTCTCGGTAAAGGGACCCTCCCCGGAGCCAAGGCCGACACAAAGACTGTCGCTACAACCAGTCCCCCTCTCACTCCCCTGAAAGAAGCGACGAAGACGACCCCCGTGGTCCACTATCCCGGGAGATCATGAAGGCCCTAATTCCTAAAGGAATGGAAAATCCCCCTACTGAAGGAGTACGACGCTATTGCGGATCCTGTCGACCACATCGACGGGTTTGAAGCAATGCTCCAATACCACAATGTTGGAGGCCCAATAAAATGCAGGTTGTTCCCCACGATGCTGAGGAAAACAACCATGGATTGGTACAAGAACCTCTCCCCTTGGTCGATCATGTAACGCCCGTTAATTTAATTAAATTAATTATGGATTAATAGTTGAAAATGTTTTTGAAATTGTTGAAGTTGCGAAATATCGAGAAATGTAGATTTAAGTTGCTAAGTTGTTATTTGGTTGATTAATATTAGAAATAATATTAATAATAACATTAGAATGGTTATCAGATTTATTGTTGATTTAATTATATGGTCGTATGTAGTAAAAGTGGAGTACGAAAGTTAGGCCCAATAATAATATTAATAATTATAAAGTTAAGCTAATTATAAGGAATTAAGTTATTGAACAAGTCTTGGAGTATTTTGTGGTGAACGTGAGAAGTTGCAGAATTGCAGAAAAGAGGAAAAGAGGCAAAGGTTGGAAACTTTGGCAAGGCTTGGCTCGATCGAAAAATTATAGAGCGGTCTCCAATCCAAGGTAAGGGTGGGGTTCTGACTCTATAATTGAAATTATGATGAATAATATGTGGGAATTGGGTTGCGTAAAATCATTGATGAATGTGTATATTTGTTGTGGTTAGTTATTTATGAAATTTATCAGATTTTTATGAATATATATTGCTGAGAATTAAGTTGTGTTGATTTAGTTGTCATGTTGACGTGGTTCCATGTTGTTGGTTCTGGAAAATTGTGTTTCTGTGAAAATTGACGTTGCTGTAATGATATATATTATTCTGATGTGAGACTGTTAATTGAAGGCAGTATGGGCAAGTAATAGAAAGGTACTGAAGAAATACACGCGAAGGAGGTGTGTCGAAGGGCATACGAATGGTGACAGACGACACCAAAATTGAGAGTGTCGAGTGGCACATACAACATGCCGCACGGCATGTGTTGTGAATGGAGAGTGCCGACGACACATGCTTAGGAGAGGGGGTGTGCCGAGTGGCACACCTTGGTGATGAGGGGCACATTGTATTTTAGTGCTTCAATTGATTTATTTAGTTATTAGGCGCTATTGTAGAGGATTCACACATATATACCCATTTGATAACATTAGTAGGTAGTTAGTAAGTATTAATATATTAACGAGTAACAAAGTTCATAAATTTAGCAGAAGGATAGTAATTAACAGACATTGTAATGAAGATTGTTGATAGCAGTAAAAGTTATGAAATTAGTAGTAGGTTTATTAAATTAGCAGAGTAATGAAATAATATGAATAATATGAACTAGCAGTAGCAGTGTGGGTTTGGTAATAATAATACCGAGTAGAAATGCTATTAATTTTAGCAGAGGATTATTTAGCCGGATATAGTTGATTTGTCTGAATAATTACGCAAAATGTTTGTAAAATATTATGGTTGAGACGGTGGATTGTATAAGTTGTTGTAAGGTAGAGACTAAGATGTGAATTAGTAACAGAAGGTTATTAGTAATAAAATAACAGTGGAGAATTAATTAATTAGCAGGATTTAGTCAATTTGTTTGCATAATTATATGAAACAATTGTTGTAT